TTTGAAAAAGTGCCTTAAACGGTTGGTCCACTTTGAGCTAAAAAGCTTCACTTTCAGGAATGAATGCTACTCAAGATAAGTCAGGGTAGCAGACTTGGGAGACTAATGTTGGAAAAGTAGCTGAAATTTTCCTTTATCACATTTTCGTTCAGCCAAGTGTTGCTTGTGTTCTGGCTTTCCTCTTCTCCTTTAGCAGCTTCACGCTCAGCTCTCTGTATTAAGAACAAGCACAGTCCCCCTGAACCCACTGAGTGAGCACTGTGCTGATAAAAAATCTCTTGATTAAGCACAAATTATTTGTTTATTCAGTCAACCATGTTAAGAACATAGGTAGTTCTAAACCACCATTCTGTCCAAAGGGACTGTGATTTTCACCCTTAATAATATTTACTTTTGAAATCTGTGAGAATGATAATAAAGGGCAGATGAGACAGCTTTAATCGACAGCATTAATCAATCAACCTTGATCCCTCCAGATCATGGAGCAGCGCTTGGCATAACTTATTAGCAGTTTGTGGTCTTTGTGGCCTAAATTATGCCAAACTCCAAATTTTGTCCTTCTGCTTCCCCACTATCCTGAATATCTGTGGCTGAAAATACCATTCCCAATACCATTCCCCTCAGCTCTGTAATTCATCTGTCCTTGCCCCTTCCCAGTAAATCCCTATAGTTAGTTTGGGAGTGGGTCTCCAGAGTGCTGCTCTTTACTCCTCCATTACAGGAGTGCATAAAGGACATTCTCCTCCAGATGCCCCTGGAGCCACTCAGGCTCCTGTGGTTTGTTTTTTGTTTGTTTTTTTTTTTAAAAAAAGCAAGGAAAGAAATTCATTGTTACATTTTATGTTCTGAATCGTACCATGAATTTGTTATGAATGCTTAAAATTACAGGGCATTTAAAATAAATATAATGTGAAGGTCTGCAGAATTTTAATAGATAAATTGCTCATTATTTTGTTCTCTCATCACAGTAACAGTCTCTGTCTTGTTCGCTAGCACCTCCTGGAATGCCTTTGATATCTTTATAAAAGTGGGCATGTCACTTTATACCCAGTTGTAGAGGACTGCTGCTCCTGACAACATGACCTAAGAGGACTTTGTGGTTCATAGGAACGACATCATTGCCACATTGCATGGGGTGTCAGAGTAGACATGTGCCTCCGTGACTTTTTAGGGAGAGCAAAAATCTCTTCTGTAATGTAGCTACATTTCTCATGATGTGCCACTTAAGATTTGTGCTCTAATCTTTCAGCCTTTGTGAAGAACTATTTGGTTTGGGGTTTTTTTTCTCCTCAGTGCACTGCATGGATGGGATTGTTTTATCCACTCCTAAGGGCTAGGTTCAAAACTTGTTTAAATCTGCTTCTCTCCATCTGTGCTCAATCTATGATCCTTGGATTTTTTTTTTTTTTTTATTATCTCAGAGGATGGAAAAATCTTGTTTTCATACAATATTTCAGTAAGACTTAGGAATAACTGTGGTGTGTAATTTCTGTAGAGTTTCAAACACTGCTTCCTCTCCCCAACAACTATAAAATACAAAGGAAATTATTTGCATATAAAGAATTTGATCATCCAAACACCATGCTTCTAATGAAACATAAATCAGCTAGAAAGAGCTTACTTAGTTTTTCCTAAAAGAAACAAATCAGTCTGAGTTATTTTTCTATGTAATTAACACTGTTTGCTGTTTTAAGTAGAGGGATCAGAGTTGTCCAAAACAGTTAAGATTATAGCAACATCAGCAGTTTTTCTGTTTGCTTTACTTTTATTCATTCTGGCATCATAGCTAATTTCTAATCAAGTAAATGTGTTTGAAAGTATGATTCACAGGAGATGATACACTTCTCCATGCTAAGTGCATAAAGCTAGTTTAATAAAAAGGGTATTGCACATGATGCCATTTTTCTAGTGGGTATAGTTATCTCTGCAGCAAACAAGTGAACGATGTATTTCAGGATGTGTGTTTGGATGACGACGGGCAGATTGGGCATGTTAATAAGCGAGGCTGTTCACCAGCAAGCCTCTTATTCTTGTACATCAGAGGCCTGTGATGACAGTAGATGTTGCCTTCTGCTGGCTTTTACTTCCCTCTTTAAAACGTCTCATACTTTAAGCAGACACACCTTTGGCAGAACCGAGGATGGGGGCCCATCATCCCATTGCTGTCTCATTTGCAGATGTCACCCCAAGAAGCATGAGCAGAGCAATGTACAGAACTCCAGACTGCTCCTTCTCTTGTAATATCCAAAGAATATGTTACTATTTGGGATTGACAACTCAGTCCAAGATTGATCCAGAGCCCACTGAAGTCACTGGAAGTCTGTGATTGCCAAAAACTACCACTGACTTCAGCATGTCTTAGAGCAAGCCCTTCACGGGCGCAGAACTCCCTGGGAAATGGCTTGCTTTATTGGAAAGCAAAACTGATTAAACAACAATTAAACACAACCAGTCATCTGGACCTCCCTTCACAAAAGCTTTGTGGCTTTAGAGCCCTACCCCAATAAGCAGCAACATGGAAGACGAAGGTCTTTACTTTTTATCTCAGATGGCTCGGCTCAATAGCAATTAGCTTCTGCCTCTGCTTCTGTGGGCCTCCTGCAATCCACAGCTGCAGCGGCCAAACCTTGTTCCCTAGAAAAAATTAGACAATTATCTGTGGGAATTTATTTCCCAGCAAGAATATTCACATCTCACTTCTCTCCAGTACTTCATCACCAAGATGCACAGCTGTTGAAGGACTATCCAGATCTCAGTCCAATCTACTGTCATGTTCAATAGCTCATCACTGCAAGAGTTTCATAAATGCACATTTTCCAGATATATCTTCAGTCTGTGTTTCCTCTGGTAATCCCTGCATGGAATCACAAATTAAGAAAAATATATATAAAAATCCCCTAGTTATTTTAGAATAACTAGCAAAAGCACATTTCTTGTTAGAGGAAAAGTTGTCCTTCGGGCTCTGAAGATAGCGGTTTGTCTGCAGTCTTCCACTACAGACCTTCCAGCACAGCAGTCTCAGAAAGCAAGTGATACCTGGGCAGTGGGGGATGGAGGAATGAGGTATTTCCGCAGGCTTCACTAGCACCGATTTGTACTGTCATGCTTGGAGCATCATGAGTTTGCCACTTGTGATGAGCACCATTTGGGCAAAGCGTGCCTTTTTTTAAGGGACTGAACAAATAGTGATGAAATGAAAACCTGATGATCTGCTCAATTTTCCATCTGTATTTCCTTCTAGAAATCTTGAACTTACATGTTCTTCAGCTTCCTCATTTGAAGAATCTCATCTTTCAACAGCCATTTCCATCCAGAATTACTAGTGTTTCATGTACCATCTAGGGTGCTTTGCCTAATGTTTTCAAAACCAGCTGCAAAGTATAAATCTCTGGCACCTCATATTTTTAAATCGCTGTATCTGCTTCCCTACCAGTTGTACAAAGTGTTTGAAAAAAACAGCATTTTCTCTACGGTGGAAAAACATTTTAGTCTCTGCTGAAATCCTCCAGGTTTGTTGATGTTCTGTTCAGCCTTACTGTCTTTTACTATCCTGTGTGATACTTGGATGATAGCCAGGCACATATAAATTGCTCCCACTCATGCTCTCTCTGGCGGTTTTATGTGCCTTTCACTACTTTCTAGCAGATATTTTAGGCAGCAATTTATTCCTATCACGGTTTTTTCTGCTTACTTTCTTTTCCCTTTTTAAAACGTATTATACATCTTTTTGCCTAGAATTTACTTAGTGTTTTAGGATCCCTGTGGATCGATGGGTCAGAGACTACAACAGCAAAATCGAGGCTTTCTCGTTATGCTTGTACAAGGGAGTAGGCAGACTCTTACTCCCCAATTTCAACGCTTGCCATGCCAAGGGGCAGAGAGTGGGCAGGACTTCGAAGCTGGAAATGCCCGTCTTCCCCTCGGGACATCTCGCTCAGTACACTGGAGTCAGCGCAGAGAGGAGGCTTCCCATGCCAGATAAAAAGGGTGATACAGGTTACTTCTTGACTGGAAAAGGCGAGAAACTAGAGACTGAATCTGTGGTGCTCCTAGAAACATTTAATTCTTGATTTTCCTCCGAGTACCATAAATGTAACCAAAAGAGTCTAAATTTTGGACAAATCCGTAACCTAGCCTATGTTAGGTATCATGATTTTTCATTATATTTTCTCCTAAAGGTTAGAAGAAAGAGCAGAAAAAGCAAAAAAGAGGAAATAAATAATTTAAGAAGCTTCTGTCTACAGGCAGAAGAAAATGAGCATTATGGATTCAGGCTGAACCTTCCCCTGCAGCCCCCCAGATGAAAAATCAGCTTTCACCCATCTTAGGAGAGTTTCTGGCTTGCTGTGAATCATGTCATTCAAACGGCAATCCTAGCGAACGCTGTGTCATTGGGGGGGGAGAGTGTAAAACTGAATCATGCCCCACTCCTGACCCTTGCCACAGACCCCAGCTGCTATACACTCACAGCAGCAAAATATCTGTGGGCATTTTGTGGCCTGAGCTGGTAACTGGGCCCAAATGTGACAAAGAGCATTAGTCAGTCCTAGCTTAGAGTTGATTAGATCACTGCAAGTAGAGCAGATATTTACTTGAGCATATTGCTATTATTAAGGCATATAAGCATGTTAGAAGTTTATCAAGTTTTCAAAAAAAATGTGTACACAATAGTAACAAAAAAACACAGAAACTTAGTTCTGGGACTTAGTTCTCTATCCAAGCACATGTCTTTAAAAGCTCATTTTTCATGTGTTCATCCAGGTATAAAATGAGTGTCAAATCGCATACCAGAGGTGAGTATTAACAGGCCTGTCCTCATCCAACTTTGACCTATTGCATTAAATTTCTAATGCTCTGTTAGATGATCTGTGGCGTCTTCATAGAGGTTGTTGTGATCCTGATTAAGAAAGCTCTCATTTTAATATTGCATTTGTATCACACGATTTGTTACAGTTTTCTCACATGCTGCTACTAAACAAACCTTCTCTTTGCCCTTGCAGGTTACACAAATGGACCAGAAACTGAACCTCATTACAGATATGCTGCATCATCTGGTTTCCCGTCAGCAGGGGGATCAAGGAAACAACAGATCATCTCAGAGAGGCAACAATGTCAATTCAGATCTTTTTCTCCCTAATAACACTCTGCCGACCTATGAGCAACTGACAGTACCAAGAAGAAACGAAGATGATGTATCCTGATGTGGTATAAGTCTGGGTTGGGTTCTTCCCACCTTTCTCCTTTAAATGGGACTGAATGTTGAGAACCTGGAAGGAATTAAGTTCATCAGCCATCCAAGAAAACACGCTCAAACTGTATCTATACCACTAGTCTCAAACACGCTCTTCTAAAGCCGCTCGTAATAGCCGAAGGATTGCCAGGCTGTCTTTCTTCTACCAGGCAAAACTTACTGAAGCTCCACATTGATTTTGTTCATTAGCAAATAATCACAACTCGTTATTTCTCAGAAAGACCAAAATGATGTAAAGACAAGCAAAATGGCAAGGATTTAGAGCTCCTTTAATAATAATAATAGTAATAATAATATTCTAATAATACTTGAACTTAGATGGAAAAAGTGCATTCTGTTTATGAATCTGCAGATAGCAATATATTTCTACTACTAAGGTTTTTAAAACAAACTAGGATAACTTATGTTGTTTTTACTACATAAACGTACACTAACATTCTAGAGAATGACAAACCACATACTGAATGATTTGCTTTTTTTCTGTTTTATTTTAACATTGCTGCATAAACAGTTATCAGATAATGACCAGATTTTTTAAATCTGTTTTTCTTCAGGGAGGAACTAATCCTTAATCTGGAGCAATACTATTTATAGTGGAAAGTGCTATAGATTTTTTAAGATATCAGTTTTTCATGGGGAGACAATAAAGTATTACATAGAAAAAATGATTCTGCTTTCTAGAAAATTGTTGCCAAAGAATTTATATATAAATAGAAAACACAGTGGTCTGAATGTACTTGTCCTGAAATAGCTTTTTAAAAAGAAGGCCCACTGCTTCATAAATCTTCTGCTTTTTAGCTTACAGTCGCCAAGAATAGTACAAGAGGCTGAAGTCACTGGACTTGCTGGTCAAGTGCTTGAGCTGGCCACTGCCTGAGCATCCATAATCCTTGCAGAAATTGAGGCCCCAGTTCAGGAAAGCACCTCTCATCCAGACAGCATATATGACAATTTGAATAGTTTCCTGAATAATGTCTGGAGAAATTCAACTCCCTACAAGAGTCATTTGGTACTGAAAAGTGCCAGCTCTAATTTAGAGGACTGAGGGCCTCAGCTACAACCTATGGAGCTGAACCACATTACCCCACATGATAGCTGCAATAAAGCCAGCAGTGTTTGGCTCACTGTGATTTTTCGCACACACAACATGAGAAGGATTTGGGCTTTGATTACTAAGGTTGAAATTTAGCCCTTGCAGGTAGTTATCACCTGTACCATATCAGCCCTGCTTTGAACGTGGAACATCTCTAAAGCGGACAGAGTGTCAGGAAAATGTATTTAGTCCAATGTGGTGGTGGTGGTAGCCTGTACTGCTGGCAAAAGAAGGAGATGTAGACAGATTTATCAGCTCTTGCACTTTGAGCATCATGCACATCCAGTGCACCCTGTTTCCCTCACTGCACAGCCTGTCCCCCATGGTGGTCTCTCTCCCTCTCCTGGAAAACTGATGCCCTAAAGCCTCGTAACTTTGCACAGCAGTTAACGTCACCAGTCTTTAATCTCTTTGAGCAGTCTGAAATACTGATGTGTGATGAACTGAGATCGCAGGAAACCTTCTTATAGTGCTGCTCATATTCCGGGCTTTCTTTTCAACATTTCATCTCTTTCACTTTGACTGCAGAGAAAAGTATACTGTATTTAACTTTACAGATTATGTTACAATTATCCAGCCTTGCTGCTGTACAGCAGATAAATGTTAAGGCTGCAGAAATTTACAGGCATAAACAGAAATTGTATCTGGGCATTATGTTTTATAGGAATCAAAATTATTGTCATGATTTTGAACATTTTTTAAATGAGATTCACGATGTAATTTCAGGTTATCAATCAGCCTGTTAATTTCCTAATAAAATACAGGACAAGAATGCCATGTCTTTTGGTTATTCTAAAATCCAGACACTTGATACACAAAGGAAAGCTGTTGGCTTTGCTTTTCTTTTTTCTTTTAACCCACTGTACAGTGTACAGATGCCTTACTTGCAATGCAGGACTGGAAACCTTCTGCTGATTCTTTACTAGAGAAATAAAGGAAAAACAGGACTTAATCAGCTGGGGTGGCTTTGGGGAGAAAGGTGTGTCTTGTAGCCCTTGCTGAAAGCAGCCATGTCTATGCTTTTCTGTGGGCGTTGTGTTAACCAGAAAATACATCCGTTCCTACCTGTTTGTTCCCAAGACCATACCTACATATTCTGCTTGGCAGCTAATCTGTATGATAACAGTCTGGCATAGCAAACATTTCATGCGAACAATAATTTTCCTTTCTTGATGTGTTAGTTGCTCTATATCCATCCAAAAAGCACTGTTACCAGAATCCTGGGAATAACCAGGTTTTACAGATTCTCAAGGCTGGTGGCAAGTTGTCATGAGGTTGGTGATTCCTCCCAGCTGATCTTTCCAGAAAGAGCACCAGCTCGGAGACCTGCTACTTCAAATCTGATAATCCACCTCGCCCTAAGAAAAAGAAGACGATCCGTTTTCCCAGCTGAAAAGGGATGTCATAAAATGAGCGATCCAAATTTGCCATGCAACTGCCTGGAGCTAGCCATCCCCAAGTGGTCACCAGAGACAGGTCTGACCTCTCTGCCCGGAGGACCGGACTGGATTTATCTTGCCTGCTGGGGCTTCATACCTCAACGACTTCTCCTGGAAGTGAGTACCTCAGCATCTTTCTTTCATGGAGCATTGTGGAATGGCAGAAGCAGGAAGATGAGCTGAACGCTGGACCAGCCTGAAGCAACCAGCCTGCAGTGAGTATGTGTTTCTGCTGAAACCTTATCTGCTGGTGTCCGCTGTTCATCCAAACTGTCCAGAGCAGTAGAAAATGTTTGTAAATAGCTTGAAGGGGGAGCAAAGGAAACTGTAAGGTAGGCAAAGCCTTGACTTTATAATTTTCTACCTCGGTTTTGTAAACTGTGTTAAAATAAAGGCATCCGAGGCTGCAGAAAGGAGACTCTTAGAGCAGCTCCATAGCAGTTTGCATTTTAAGACTGGTGTAAGCTAGGCCTGGATCCCCATCCCTGCCTAAAAAAATAAAGGTCAGCTAAAAAAAAGTCCTCTAAAAGAATGTGAGCTGGCTCAGCTTCCCCAGTCTACCAGGGTCTGGGTTCTGTGCCAGATACGGAAAATAGGAAGCCAGTGACTAGGAGAGGAGGAGAAATGGGGGGCTGCCCAGCTGAAGGTGGTGATGAAAGCTCACCCTGTCTCAGTCCGCAGCAGAGGCAGACGACGGTGCAAGTTTGCAAAAAGAAAGATTAATGGGAGAAGGCGGGGGATGTGTGCAAGGGAGGAAGTTTAGGAGGTGAGCAAAAGCATGGGCTCCTGGTTAGGGGGCTGTGCTGGGATTCAGGAGACAGAAGCACTGTGCCTGGCATCGGCATTAATCTACAGTGTGACCTCAGGGTGAGTGACTTCACCTGTTTGGCCACATCTGTTGCCCCCTCTCCTCCGCTCAGCCCACTTGTCTATTTAGACCACAAATTCCTCGGGACAGGGATGGCCCCTTTCTATGTGTTTGCTCAGCGCCTAGCACAAAGGGACCTGCACTCCGGGGACTTGAGGTACCACTCTCGTATAAATAATTACTCAGGAGGTAAAAGCCACCCTGGAGCCCTGCTATATGCAAAGCCTTTATTATTCTGAGCCCAAGGAGTTTCAGAGTTGGAAGCGCCTGCTGCCAAACTGACAATTAGAGGATGTTGGGGTTTAGATCCCTTTTGACATAGTATCTAACAAAAGAATACCAGAAGTCCGGCCATCACTCATTTTCACTCTTGTATTTTAAAACAGGTTTGCTTCAAATAATGCAATGGGCCAGTGCTATGCTTGAATACTAGCTGAGACAGAAATCTTTGGATGTCAACAGATTAGCCATTTTACTGCAGCAAGTTAAGGGCTGTTGTTGCTAGCAGACACCTCTGGGCTGATTTATCACCCATCAGTTCTGAGGAAGGTGGAAATATTCCAGGGCACTGAGCTGAAAAGGTCTGGGCAAGAAACAAATTTCTTTTTGAAATATAAAAAAGTAAAATACAGGAAGATTTTCTTTTCTGGGAGTTTAAAGGAGAAAAAGTAAAAACAGTTTTAAGCTAATCCTCATGTACCCTGCTGAGATGCATATTACTGTTCTGATTTTACTGATGAGGTAGTAGTTTGGGAAGAGGAGGGGCATTGAGAAGAAAAGGAAAAAGATTAAAGGTCTGATGCAACTCTCATTTAGTCCTACTCCTGTGAAAATTTACTTCTGTGCTTCATTCATGCACAGGAGTTGGGCTATTGTCTACAGTGGGACTACTCAGCCCCTGCGGGTCAATGTAAGCCTTTGCAAGTTCAAAATACGTAGTAAAGACGCCTTTCCATCGTCTTTCATTGGAAGCTGAGCTCTGCTGGGTGTGCAGCGTTGCTTTCCTCATGGTCACAGAGCCATGTGAATTCACAAGTTTCTGCTTCCCATTTCTGTTTTCAAATCATTGGTTTATAATACTCTTGCATGCCACTAGCATTTTCAAGCCACAGCAATTAGAGGTATTTCTTTCCACCTCAGCGATATGAATTTCCTTACCTACCACACTCGAACACAGGCAATGCAATGTTTCTGCACATAGAGCAAAGGCTTTTTAAATGCCTTCCAATTTCGTTTAAAATAGCTTGTGTAACGTTTTGCATCCTGGGCTCCCTGAGCAGCGGCAGCTGTGATGAAGGTGCAGGAAAGGCAGCGAGTTGTTACACCAGTGCAATGTGGAGGTGACACTTAGCTACATCCCAAGAAGCATTCGCTCCCATGCAATAACCAAAAGCTGTTAAGTTCAAATCAAAATTAGCAAGTAATTCTATGAACACTGGCTTTTTTCTGTCTTGTCCAAGGGCTGACATGTCAGCCATGTCCAAGAAGGGCAAATTTCAGCTGAAGCTTTTTTTTTTTGCGGTTGTGATGTAGAGCAAGTTTGTTTTCTG